TATTAGAGAGACAATACACTCGACTTTACTAGTTTCGCTAATAGATATCAAATAAACTGAAATGGGATCTCGCAAAGTGGCAATTGAGGGACATATGCAAAGGCTTCTTTTAATACAAGACTAAACTCAGATGAGGAGTAGCTTGTACCCTAGTGCAATCCACATTTATCAAGTGAGAGTACAACATATTCACTCCCAGAACTACTTACAATGTGTGAATAAAATCTGGAAAGGTCACTAATCTACCAAGACCCAATACTTTATGTGGCCCACCCAGTAGGAGTGCCTCCTCTCACTCTTGGCAATCCACCTCTTAAACACAACTTGCAGACTTTGTGGAGCAATGAAAACACAATGCCATATCCTATGGAATGTTCAGTAGCATAAGATGTGTGGGAAGGCTTCATGGTAATTCTCAAACAATCCTCTCAAGATGGTGCAATTATAATCTATAAATCAGCATTTTGGGTTGCTTCATCCAAGGAAAGATAAAACACTTGGATGCTTAGAAATGGAGACTTAGTGAGAATCCTTTGATCAACTCAACTAAATAAGCACACACATCATGCATCTGTACCAAAAGTTATTTGATGTCTTTAAAGGATGTACTTTTGTGGAGATTTGAAAGGCTCCCTGTGCTAGGATGTTCAATAACAAAAACCCCTCAGCTCAAGCAACAATCTCAAAAGTTTGGTCTCAATTGATTATCTCATTAGCATCCTAACTTGACACACTTATAAAGAGAGGAGATGAAGGAAAGATTACCAAGGAACAAGCTTTATAGCCCTTCTTTAGCATGAAAATGAGGCTAGTGAAGATGAATGGACATTGAAACCACCACTACAGCTTTGGCAGCACTTGTCTAAGAACAATAAAATGTGTACTTCCCTAAGTCCATCAAACTCTTCATTGAAAACTTAAACCACTTGGGCTATAATGGATATTGACTTACCTCCCTGCCCATATATAATAATGCTCTTTTCTGCTTTCAATCATATAGAAACTAGACACTATAGTTTTATAAAGGCTGAATAAGAGTGATAGTAAAGAAAAAGTATTTGTAGTGATCTTCAACATTCTTTACTAATCTCAAATAATGATGAAGGCATATAAATTTATTGTTCAATACACATTTCAATAACATAAAAACCATGTTGACAAAGATGACAACACCAATTGGAAGAAATTAACCACATAGCATCAAGGAGAAGGCTTCTAGGCAGCAATAGTGTCACTATTACCAAATAATGTACACTCTTTAGTTCACCACATCGTGGGATTCAAGACTGTTTAAGGACTTTTTATATTTTTGAGAAATAAATGCCAATTTCACAACTGACTCAAGTCCTTCACATTAATAGGCACAATCACATAGGAAAGACAAGGTTGGGGACCATTGATAAGATCTAGAATTCACAACCACTAAGGATTGGGAGCATGCATTCATAGAGTAAATGGTGTGGATTTAAACTACACATAACTAAACTCTCATTCCATTGATCCTTCCCTTTGTCACTAGTCCCCATACTCTTTCCCAATTTCAAGCATGTTGAAATGGTATTTTAGAGGTTAAATATAAAAATTCCCATTCTTAGCTCAATAAGGTCTTCTTTCCCACTGATTTTTCCAAGTTCATTCCCTTGGTTGTGGTTTCACTAGATAGTAAATAGGGACATTAGGAATCTAATTAATCTATTCATACATGTCACTAATTAGATGATGAGGCATTTAACTACTTTAAAAGAATCATAATCACTCTTGCCAATTTACCTACAATTGATTGAATATATTCACTTTGACATTCAAAGCACATTATTTTATTCTAAGATTAATATATTTATTAATTATAAATATATTTAAAACAATATATACTCAATATTTTGGTTAAACGCTTATTATCGACCTTTCCTCTTCTTTATGGCTCATAGCTCAGATGGAAATGCTGTTGGGCACGCCTTTGCCAGTGATCCCTTTCTCCGATGCCGGCGAGAGCAGCGTGTATGCGACCTGCACGGGCCCCAATCTGTTCTTGAGCGATGGATCGGCGTTGCGGCGCGCCACGATGCCCTCCACATTCTTCATCGCGGCGGTGAAATTCTGGAAGGCGGCCTTGGCCTTGGGATTATCCGTCCAGTTCGCGATGGCACGCTGCCCCAGGTACTCCTCGTCCGACGCGTGAGTGGATAGGATCTCGAGCGTGAGCATGACGAGGATCGCTTCCAGCTTCCTCGAGACCGACTCGAGGAAGAATTTCTCAGGGTTTGCCAGCAGCTTCTTGTGTTCGTCCGAGTTCTCAGCCGGGATTGCCTTGTGAGTGGCGGTGGGATGGTTGGGCATGTAGCCAGCGTATGCATACTGGCCAAAGTTCACGGCTGCGTGATGGGCCGACGCTACCCAGATTATAGTGGTGAGCGCTAGAGCCAGGTTTTTCTTGCTGTCCAGCTTGATCCACCATGGCTCGTCCTTCTTGTCTGCATGGCCTTTCTTGATTACTTCGTTCCACCAGGCCTGGAGCTCTGCATCGTTTGCTACTGCTTCGTCGTCTTTGTAGCAAGCGTCGAGGTAACTGGACGTCCATTTTTCCAGAGCGTCCCAGATTTCAAGACCATCTGCGGCATATGGATAGTCCTCGATCGCAAGCTTGAGTCCGTGCTTTGCTGTGGAGTCTGGGACAGCCATCCCTCTGGAACCGAGTTTTAATGAGTGGTGTCAGTGCCAGCATTTCTTTTGTTTTGTTTGTGTTACCTTTTGATGAGATCTGCTGGTAGGCCTTGTTCGTCGAATCTCCAGCCTTTGTAAACCACGGCGCTCATCTCCATGCAGTAGTTTCCTGGAGTGAAAGTTAGCTCGATGATTCCAGCTGCATTGATGAGGCTTTGCCGCGCTTGCGAGTTGATTGACATGGTGTGCTTGAAGTGTGGCTGCAGAAACGGGTTTAGAGGATGAAGCTTGCTCAGCTGCCTGTGGGTCGCGATGATGAAGGGCTCGATGCAAGCATGTGTCCTTAGCCTTCACAACAGATACGAGAGGCTTGTTTGTTTGTTTCTTCTCTAAATGTTTGGCTTACCAGTGACTGACAAGCTGGTGATATCCAGAATCGTTCGTGGCGGCGTGTGCTTTCGCGAGCTCCCAGAGCCAATCGGTTGTTCCAGCTGCCGGTGGGACGAAGACTCTCTGAGAATACGGTGTGCTGAGCTCGATGGCTACGGGCCGTAGAGTTCCATCCGACTTCAAAAACAGGAGAACTCGGGATGCGTAAGCGTAAGATGATCTCTGGGAGTTGATCTTGTCGAGGTAAGGCATGAACTCATCGTGATAGCTGAGAATAAACAGTTTCTTGTCACTCACTGCCTGCATTTGCATTTGCGTGGTTAGAGAGTCAACTTAGAACTCGTACGTAAGAATTAACGAACCTGTTGTACGGTTGACCCTTCTAGCCGACTGCCGATGTGTTCCTCGGTGATAGCTGACTTTGATGGTCCGTATTTTTTAGGATCCAGAGTGCTCATGGGTGGAAATTCCTGAACTCAAGAGTTGGCTAATGGCTGTGAGTATCATGAACTTACCTTTAGACACTGAATCATCATAGGATTCACTCCACACAGCATCTGTCTTGCAAATTCTTCGTCCGTCATCCATCCCTTCTCATTCACTGTAGTTGCCTGATGTTAGATGCATGTTTTTCAAGTTTGCATTTGAAGAGCATTACCTTTTAAGATCTGCGGAAGTGGGTACTTCATGTAGCTGGTGTTGCCGGTGTCTGCAGTGAACTCGTTGAAGAACTCGAGTGGCGTTTGCATCCCCCTTACTGGTGAGGTGACAAGCTCGGATATATCAAATCCATGGTCATACAGGTCCTTTATCTCCTTGAGCGAATCAAACGTCTGGTCAAACGTGATGATGCTTTCCAGAGCTGGAAGAACGCTGTGAGTCAGTGCCTTGAGACCGTCGGCCAGGAAGCCACTGTTCTTCACGGAGCCAAATCGTTCGTCGCTTGGTATGTAGAATTTATTTAGCGGGGTCAAGGTGAGAGTTTCAACTGTTGCACAGCACACATCACTAATCAGTGTCTTTTGTTTTGTTTTGTTTTTTTTTTTCTTATTCAGACCTCCGTTGATGTTAATTCGACCGGTGCGACACCTGCGGGGATAAGGAAGATCGGTCGATCCGCCCAATGTTGGTCGTTTCATGTTGAGGAGTGGATTTCCCAGATCGTTGTAAGTATCGTAGTCGTAAATCCGATCCCAGTCTTGTCTAATTCCCGTTCCGTCTCCTTGCAGGGCTTTCAAGTCACTCTTCCGAGCATTTGTCAGGCCCGTTGGTGTCTCGTTTGGCAGGTAGAGCTGAAAGAATTCGTAAGGATACTACAGTCAGAGATCTTTACCACGCAGAGCCTACCTGGTTACTGAAGAACAGACGCTCTGTTCTGTAGAGGGACGAATTGTAAACCCAGGAATAGCAAGGAAACTCAACGATCTTCCCCCCTCCAGGCATCTCGACAGTCAAAGAGACAAGGTAAAATTCACTTGGATGACTATTCGTGATGCTAAATGCTCCAGGCAGTCCGAAATCCGGATCTACTGAAAACTTCACAGTGTATTTGACATCGTCCGTAGCAAATAATCCTCCAGAAAACAGCCACTTCTCAAGGTTTGCGGGATTGCTCTTCTTTCCTGTCTTGGCACCTGTACAATACTCAAAGGTGAGGATGTTCTTGGCAGCGACAAACATTTACTTACTGATCAATTGCAGTGTCACTCCAAGACCAAGGAGATCTGCGGTATTGTCCACCACCGAAGCTCCAACGTTGGTGACATCGAGGACATTAGTTTTCCGGACGAGGACAGCGCCTTTATAGACGATCTTAGACGAGCCTTTATCCTGGAACAAGGCTCCAGCTATGCCTCCGAGAAGCGCCATACTAGAAGAGCAAGATGCAAGAGTATACAAAAGCAGGAAAGCAAGTTGTAAGATAATGTTTTTCCTCGACTGCAAGGGGTTGCAGATTTATACGCAGCTTGAGGCGTACACGTGAAGAAGGTGGGACTGATTAGTATTATGTGATTGAGGCTACAGGCAGATTTTTCTTTCTCACAGAGGAATCAAATCGGTACAGCTCATCCAAGGTGATGCGAGGATCAGTAACTTGATCGATCCTAGCTGCGAAGTCACTGTTTCGGCCAGATGTGGACCATACTGCAAAAAAGAGTGAGGTACGTTCTAATCTATTCCACTCCTAATAAAACTAAGCTCAATTGTAAACAGAAGGAGCCGAAAAGAGTCGCGTTCTCGAAAGCCGTGCGGGGCCCGTTGGGGTTTTTTTCTTGCCCCGGAACGCTGTTCCTATGTCCGCCGAAGAACCTCTGATGGATTCCGGTCAAAAGCGCTTGGCGGAGCTCGGCTACAAGCAGGAACTCAAGCGCTCACTCTCGTAAGTGCTCTACATAAAGAAAAGAACCGGTTTGGACTGATTCCTTCGGTTTCAGGGTTGTCTCGAATTTTGCGTTCTCCTTTGCCGTGGTTTCGATCTTGACAGGGATTACAACGCTCTACAGCACAGGCTTGAGTTATGGGGGACCGATCTCCATGGTATACGGCTGGCTCATTGTTGGCTTCTTCACTACGATTGTAGCTCTTTCGATGGCAGAGATATGCTCTGCGTTCCCAACCTCTGGAGGACTCTACTTTTGGAGCTTCAGTTTAGCTGGCGAGAACTGGGGTCCGTTTGCAGCATGGATCACTGGCTGGTAAGCTCTTTCGTTTACTTTCACGTCTCGCTCATTCTCCTTTCTTTCCAGGTTCAACATTGTTGGTCAGGTATGTCTTTCTAGCTCTCGTTTTTCTTCTCTTCCAGCGTGCTGAAAGTTTCAAATTCAGTGGGCCGTGACGACAAGCATAGACTTTTCTCTAGCCACTCTCCTTCAAGTGATGGTACTCCTGGGCACAGGTGGTGCAAATGGGGGTGGTTATTATGCCTCCAAGTACGTCGTAATAGGATTCCATGCAGGCATTTTGTTTCTTCACGGGCTTGTAAATAGCCTGCCAATTCATATCCTCTCTTTTTTCGGTACCTTTGCCGCGTTCTGGAACTTGATTGGTAAGGGACAAGCGTTATTCTTCCGTTCTCTTTTTAAACGCCATTCTTTTGCAGGGGTTTTTGTGCTGATGATATTGATCCCTGTTTTAGCTCCTCAGACACAGAGCCCTGAGTTTGTTTTCAAGTATTTCAACACAGTGAACAACGAAGGTATTCACAGCTATCCGTATATTTTTCTTCTTGGAATTTTGATGAGCCAATACACACTTACTGGATACGATGCCTCTGCTCATATGGTAACTTTTTTTAGGCTTTCTGGTTTGTAATTCTCCTCACCATCATCCCATGCAGTCCGAGGAGACGAGATCATCAGACAAAAACGGTGCATTTGGAATTATAAGTGCCGTCGTCATATCCGTCATCGTTGGATGGGGTTACATTCTTGGAATCACTTTCGCGATCAGCGACATCGGGTTCTTGCTCGATCCAAACAATGACGCCAAAGGTTATGCCGTAGCCCAACTCTTTTACACCATTTTCAAGGATAAATATGGCACTGGAACCGGAGGCATAGTATGCCTTGGAATTGTTGCCGTGGCCATTTTTTTCTGTGGCATGAGTTCTGTAACTAGCAACTCAAGGTACAAAGTTGTTTCTCTTTCTTTTTCTCTTTCCAAACTCTCGTTCATTGCAGGATGGCCTATGCTTTCTCAAGGGATGGCGCCATGCCGCTCTCTAGCTTCTGGCACACTGTGAATTCGCGTGAAGTTCCGTTGAATGCGGTCTGGCTTTCCGTCGTGATTGCGTTTTGCATGGCTCTTCCGGTGAGTATCCTCTACTATTTCTCGTTGCTGGACTCACCAACATGGTTTTTGATATTTTTCCAGTACTTGGGAAGCAGCGTTGCGTTTCAAGCTATGGTATCAATTGCAACTATCGGCCTTTACATTGCATACGCCCTCCCGATATTTTTCCGCGTTACCATCGCGGCCAAGAGCTTCATTCCAGGGCCATTTAACCTGGGGCCTTTTGGATTTGTTCTGGGATGGGTGTCAGTTTTATGGGTGGCGACAATCACGGTCTTGTTCTGCTTGCCAGTGGCTTACCCGGTCACAGAGACATCGCTCAACTATGCACCAGTCGCCGTGGGGGGTGTTTTGATCCTGGTGGTGACGAGCTGGCTCGTTTACGCTCGGCATTGGTTCAGAGGGCCTGTGGCGAACATACAAACCGAGACAGAGGGTGAAAATGGATCGGTTTGATGGTCTAGCTATCAAATCATTTTTGGACTTAGAATCTGCAGTGATGTAGTAGTTTTTGGCTTCTAGGAATGAACCAAAATGGTATAGAAAGTTCTTCTCTCTTTGATATAGTGCCAAGGCTAAAGAAAAGTATATGTCCACAAAGTATCCCAGATTTCCTTCAAGAAAAGAAAAGGATTGCTCTAGAAAAGAATGTGAAAAAAATCACAAAGTACTAGGACAATGATTTATTCGTTATTTTACAGTCGTTTTCGAATAGAGAATCTATTAGAGAAATTCTTATTAGCGGCATTTCCTCTTCGAGCTCAAAGTGAGCCCTTTCTCCAATGTCGGATAGAGGGACCCTCACGGGCCCAATCTATTCATGAGCGATGGGTCGGCCGCCACAATGCTCTCCACATTCTTCATCACGGCGCTGAAATCTGCCAAGCCGGCTTCATCCACCATGGCTCGTCCTTCTCGTCTGCATGGCCTTTCTTGATTGCCTCAGGCCTGGAGATCTGAATCATTTATCACTTCTGCGTCGTCTTTGTAGCAAGCGTCGCGCCAGAATCTAAATTAAAATATGCTATAGAGAATAAGCTGCATTTCCTCTTGTCTCAGATGGAAATGCGAGCCCTTCCTGGCTGTATTCATATATTTTGGTAGGTCGGTGAAACAGAGGGCGGGGACAGAAGGCGTGGTGGTAGAAGACCTGGAGGAGCTCAGCAAACAAATATCTCATGAGATCATCAAAACATCTTACTATAATTCGTCAGTCTCATGCTTCTTGGAACAGTTAATGAATGAATGAATATGCAGCTTGAAAGTCCTTTGTTACTATAGCGGAAATCAGAACAGCTAATTAGGAAGTTCACGGAATTACTGTTGGTCTAAATTTTTGTAGCTGTGATCAATGCTGGGAACTTCTCCAAACATTTCTCCGTGAAAGCTGTGCTGGGCAAGGCAATGGTGCAATAATGACTAATCTCAAAAGTCGACAATGCAAGTAGCAGAAGCATCAAAGTGGGGATTTTACATGCTGTTCCTATGGTGGAAATTTAATTGATCACAATTTTTCGTGTCACCGAGTTTAAGGTGGTCTTACCCGAAAGACAAAAATATGTATTATTATTATTGCGGCTCCAAGGCCATTCAACCTCGGGCCTTTGGAATGGGTGTTAGTTCTTGTTATGTTCTTTTATACGCTCAACTATGGACCAGGGAGTGGAAACCGAGACAAACAAGGAAGAAAATGGATCGGTTTGATGGTCTGGCTATCAAATTTTCTTTTGACTTCTTATAGTAGTTCTTGTTTTGTAGGAATGACAGTAGTTCTTGTAGTGCCAAGGCTAGAGGAACGTTTATTTTAGATTAGATCCAATGGCATTTAGATGCTTAGTTACTTCTTGATCCTCTCACCTTATTAGATTACATGTGCTGCTTCTTTCCTCGTTCTATCACCTATCAAGCCTTGAATGAAACTTACCATATCTCTTCTCCATTGTGACGACCACAAGGGCTCATTCAAGGCACGAACCGAGTTGACGCAAACGAGTAAAGTCCCACCTTCGTGAAGTAGAACCTGCAATAGACTTCGTGTGTTAGCACAGAGGTAATCTTAAAAGTTTAGTAGCATTCACCGTTATCCACAGTGGAAGTAGCCCTCCCACAGAAGACAATGCAGCCACTACAATCGATGCCATCGCCAGGATTACATTTTGTTTCACCTGTGGATGTTCGGAGTTTTAAAAAGGACAAGATAGGACACAACATACCAGAGAAGTCGTTTGCCGGGCTTTGGAGATCACAAATGGAACTCCGTCGATTGCATCTTTGAGCAGCAGTACGTCTGCCACCGCCACAGCAGTTGCGCTTGCAAAGCGAGCCAAAACGATACCCACGGTGGCGGCTGCCAGTGCCGGAGCATCGTTCACGCCGTCTCCCACCATTATCAAACCTCCCAGATTACCTTCATCTAACAAAGGAGACAGAGGTGAGACGAGATACAAGTTGGTAACTTTGAGCAGGCACCTCTTTGTCGCGCAAGCTTTTTGACATGGAGAAGCTTATCCTCGGGCCGAAGATCCGAGTGTACCTCTTCAATGCCTACAGCGTTTGCCACTCGCTGGGCACTGGCAGGATGATCACCGGTTAGCATCAGAAGCTTGAGTCCTGCTTCTTCCTTCAACGATCGCAGAACTTCTGCTGTTCCAGCACGAATCTTGTCTTCAAAGTGAAACAACGTAACCTGTCTAAAAACTGGTTACTAAGATGAAGGTAAAAACAAATGACGTACTTTCTCATCGATTGAGAGGACCGCGTGCACCAAGTCATTTCCATGGATCGACAGTCTTGCTGCCTCCCTGACCTTCTGGGAGCTAGACATGCTTGGAAAGGAAGAAGCAATGTAGTCCAACGAGCCTATCAAGGCTTTGTGGCCGGACTACACACGGAAGTTTCAGAAGAAAGGAAAATTAGTTCCAACTAGTACCTTGCGATTTGCAATTGTGGCAAACAATCCTTGTCCAGGCAAGGACTCAAAAGTATCAATCACAATGGACGGTAACTCTTTCCCTTCACTGTGTTCCACAACGGCTCTATAAAAGATAAACGCAGTCAGCCACATTCTAAACTCCAAACAAAAACCACATATACTGTTTACCGAGCAATTGGATGTGTCGCTCCACGCTCCATCGCGGCTGCTACAGCAAGGGCCTCCACCTCGCAACTTGGATTACAGCAATTGGCCTTCCCTGCACCAAGGTGGCCATGGATAGGCTCAATGGCCTTGCACTCAAGTTCGCCCGTTGTAAGAGTGCCAGTCTTATCAAACGCGACAGTGTCACAGGCTGCAAGAGCATCAAATACTTCACCACCCTTCAGTAGAATGCCCTGTCAAAGCACATCTAAAGAAATGAATCAAAGAATCAGGAAACTATATATCTCACCTTACTAGCGCAAGAACTTATTGCAGTCGCATAAGCCAGAGGTGCCACCGCCAAGGCGCAAGGAGATGCTGCAACCATGAGGCCGAGTCCTCTATACAGTGATCCCCGCACGCCTGTCAGCACGATGAATAAGCATGACTCAAAAATACCACGGGAGATCACTGACCAACCTGAAGTGCTGAGGAAAGGCCACTTGAAAACAAATGGTCCCAAAGCAGCTACGGTCACGGACATTGCTACGACCGCTTTACTGTACTTTTCGCCAAATTCGTCAAGCCACCTTTGCAGTCTCGGCTTGTTTGCTTGTGCCTCTTCAGTCAACTTCATGATCCTTGCAAGCGTAGATTCTTCCCAAGTTTTGGTAGCCTGTAAACCCGCGGTCAAGTTGATAGAGACTATAAAGATGTACTAACAAACCTTCACGATTAGCATTCCATCGAGATTACGAGCTCCTCCCGGAATGGTATCTCCCACTCGCTTGTCTAAGGGATGTGCTTCTCCAGTGAGATGCTCGACTGTCACAGTTGATCTCCCTTGCCATACTTGGCAATCAACAGGCACTCCCTGTTGCAAACGAAAGAAACGCTACAATCAAGGATGTCTGATAGAAACATATCAATATACCTCACCCGCTTTCACGAGCAGTAAAGCCCCGACTTCGACCTTGGACACATCTACTTCGACGTAAGGCACGGTCGTACTCAGATGCGAGTGCGATGAAACCTCGCGATCCAAGACAAGAGCAAACTCGGGATTGCTTTTCTTCAGGGCCTTCACGTCGCCCAGAGCCCGGTTTGTGAAGTACTCCTCGGCTGCAAAAGCACGAACTCGTAGGAAAAGAAATATTTTCAAACAAATACCTTGGTGCGATAGACTAAACATCGCCAGAAGCAAAGCACCCTCAAGAGCATTTCCCATGAAAACCGAACCAAATGCCGCGAGCGCCATGAGAACATGAATGTTTACTTTGCCACCAGCAACATCCATGCAAGCATCCAACACTGCTGGAACCTGAAAAAAGACTCAATAAATAATCACGAGAACACTATGGAAGAACACTTGTCACTTACCCCTGTGAGCGAAAAAGCAACAATGGCGAGACCGGTTTGGAGGCCTCTAGCTCGTGGTAGTAGCCGAGGCGAAAAAATCGCCAAGAACACAAGACCAATCGAGACACAGCACAATTGGAGGCTGTCACGCCAGGAATTCGCGACAGCAGCAATGCCAGTGGCATCGGCAACCGTGATGAGCGCTCGCTGGACGAAATTCCAGTCGCGGCTGTCCTGCGTCGAATGGCAATGCCCGTGCTCGTGCTCGTGCTCATGGTGAGAATGCGAATGATCGTGATCGTGGCTGTGGCCAAAGCATACTGTGTAGCAGCATCTGCGACGACGAACGGATCTCGAGCTCTTCACCTCCCAGACAATCGCTTTCCACACGGCACCACGAAATCTCAGCTGCAAGGCCCGGCATTGCGATCGCCTGTGCCTGGACGACGATCCAAACGACGTCTTGCAAGCTGTGACGCCGGCATTGGCGCGCCAAGCATTCATCACCGCAGCTGATGCCGCCGCTGCCGCCATGGAATCCCTGCTAGCCTACCCGCGCTGCAGCAGGAGAATCCAGCCGCTCCTCCTGGCGCCCATAGCTCTGGACGATGGAAATCCCTAAATTTTTATCCAACCCTAAAGAACATTGATTGAAAATTTCCCATGTGTCGACACACAACCACGACAATGTCGACACGCTAGAAATCGCCAACGTTCAAACTTACAAGCTCTCCAACCTTACAAAACGCTTGCGCGATTTTTCTCGATTCACTGCAGTGATTCGATGGCTTGTCTAATCGCCGGGAGTTCTTTCTTGAGTGCCTCCCACTGATCGATCGTAAGGCTAATTCCTGCTAAGAAAAAAGGAGAAACTATGAGAATTTGATCTCCAGTAACGCACCTTTGCTGGACGGTAGCGTTTTCCCATCCTTCTCATAGTACTCGCGGATCGAAACGAGCGCTTTGCCTCTGAAATTCTGGACGCTAACGTTCCTCTTGCCTGATAGCTGCAAGGGATTATCAGCAAACAAAAAGAACGCTTTGGTTGATCGATCAATCACCTGGCAAATGATCTCGTCCTCCCCTTCCGCTAGCATAGCTTTGGAGGATTCTTGGGAGCCAGCATTCTCATCTCCTTTCTCTTCTTCTTCTTCTCCTCTCTTGCTCTTGTCCTGCCTAGCACTTACAAATTCCTGGATGAGCTGCTTGACAAATCCCTTGAACCACGGCGCGGATACCTCCACGCCCGCTCGCTCCGCCGCCTTCTTCCTCACCATCCCTTCCGTCACCACGTCCATGTCCTCCTCGCTCAAAATCTCCTTCACGGCGACGCGCACGGCCTCCTTCTCCTCGTTCTCGCTAGCCATCGCCAAAGAGCTAAAACCCTAAAACGTGTACACACTTAGAAAAATGCGGTGGGCGTGGATCGAACACGCGACCTTCAGATCTTCAGTCTGACGCTCTCCCATCTGAGCTACCCCCGCTTATCCCATAATGCATATTAGCTTTGCTAAACAGAATTAATAGAGTTTTTAAGAACAGTTACAAGATAGAATATTAGCTATACATTGTAAAAAGAACCAAGCAAACAAATCCAGCGTTTCTGCGTTGTTGAAAACTTTTAATGGCGGCTTCCAGAGTATGGGCGATAATCTGGCGACCGGCTCCTATAGCGTCTTACTGGGGAGCGACTGCTACAGAAAGTCACAGAAAGGAAAATAAGCCCAAAGACTAGAAACAAAGAAAAGCTTGATCTAACCTGCGATGGCGGCTGTAGGGAGATCGTGGACGACCACCCCCATAGTCGGGACTGCCGCGTGATCTATGGCGAGGGCTTGGACTGCGTCGACCCCTTCCAGGAGGATCACCATTTTCTCTCGCAGCGTACTCGACACTGATCACCCTGTCCACGACTTTGCTGAGGAAGCAAAGAGGAAAGAGCTATGAGAGATCCAAAGCAGCGAAACGCGAAGCGAGAGTACCTCAGGTGAGTGGATTCCAGAGCCTTGGTTGCCTCCTCCTGCGACTCGTACTGGACGAATGCGAAGTTCTTCCGGATTTGCACCCGGACGAGCTTGCCATACGGCTCAAAGTGCCGCTCCAAGTCGCGCGTTCTGGTGTTGATGGGGTCGAAGTTGACGACGAACAGCGTCTTGGTTGGCCTCTGCTTGGTGATGCTTCTTCGGGCGTCTTCTCTTCTTTTGATGGCGCTGTCACCTTGCTGCAAACGAATCGATTCGGACTTGGGTGAAGAAACGCACAGGAAAAACAAGGAAGCTTCAATGCCATACCTTAGCCCACTCCACACGGAGAGGCCGTCGCTGCCGGCCAAACTCGACGTTGTCCAGGTCCTGAATGGCGTCTTCGGCATCTCGTTCGTCCTCCATGTAAACAAAGGCGAAGCCTGGTGTCCGAGACGAAACGGAAGAAAATAATGATGCCAACGTAGTCAGTACCGTTGTCAGGCAAGATCATCACGAAATGTTGAGAGCAGTGCGTAGTTTTTTTTATGATGTTTTTCCTATGATGAATGACGCGGACGAAGAACTCAGCCAAGAACAACATGAAGAACACTCAAGAGACTGCAGTGCACTGAACCAGTGTGTGTGTGTGTTTGTTAAAATCCACAGCCTACCTGTTTTCATGTCCACTCTATCGACTTTGCCAAATTTCGCAAACATCCGCTCTATCTCGGACTGCCGGGCATCATACTCGAAGTTCCCGCAAAAGACCGGTCTCATGGCGGAAGACATTGGAAAAACCCTGCCAGGAGAAAGCACAGCGAGCGCCATGGATTAAAACCCTACAGGCATAGATCTTGTGCACTGCGCACTACTTACGGGCGATGGCGTCCCCCGGGCGACCGGATCTGGAGCTGGAGTGATCGACCTGATTGAGAGCGGCGAAGCCCAACCTAGGAACGCCTTAAGAGAAAGGTTTTACCAGCATATAAAGAATATTCGTTACAGCATATGCACCAATCATTTTGCTCAAACCAACTTATTTAGTTTGTTTAAAATTATTTAATTAATTTAAAGCTAGATTTAAAAGATTATTGATACAAAAGGGTTTATTGTTATTTTCTTTAACTAAGGTCACCTTATTTACAAACAAGGTCTTCAAATGTTGCTAATAAAAAATTTAAATAGTTTATAATAGATTTATTGTAAGGTACAACCTTCCTCTGGAGTAAAAACTCATATCTATCCATATCTTTTCCATATATTGCAATTATGGGTCCATTTATTCTCCAAAAATTCATTAATAAACAATTCATAATCTTGTCTACCATATAGCACAATATGAAAAACAAGTGTCATGCTGCTCTCATTAGGCAAAACAATCCACAAAGATCAATTCCATATTTACAAAAACTTTAGAATGATAAAGCATCAAAGACTAGTCTAATTGAGATTTAATTTTGATTAGGAACACATGGCATTACCACGCTCTTTAAGTCTTATATAACATTTATATATATTAAAAAGGTTCTTATAAGAATGTTTATATTCAAAATTCCATTTTCATATATGGTATTAAAGGTTGAGAGAGACATTAGCTGGTAATTTTAGGCAATAATGCCAAATACTTTGATTATACAGTAGCACCATTTCCACTAATTCTAAGAATATTAATTTAACTAATTTGTTAAAAAATGAGTGTATTATAAAAAAACATCTAAGCATAACATAATTATTACTAAAAATGTTTAATTTCAACTAAAAAATCTGATTTGAGCTTTTTTCAGAGGATGGAGCTAATTAAGTTAAATCATCATTGTGATTGATCTAAGATAAAATTATGATTTTGCAATATATACTGCATAGCTTTGGCCATATTTATTCTCTATTTATTATATTATTGAATAAAAATTCATAAGTATCTTTACTTTTTATATTTTAATTAATAATATAATGCTTTTTAAAGTTATATAATAATAATAATATCAATAATAGTAATAAAAATAAAGCTTTCATTCTTTTCCCTTAGTTTTAAAGTATTATTCATTTTATATAGTATGTATTAAAAATAAATTAATTCAATTATAGATGTAATTTATTCTGAACATAAGTTCCAATTCGCCTTTTCAACTAAGCAACAAGTTCTTTTGTTATTTTGAATAGCAACACTTTTTATCTGATCTTTCCTAAACTTTTATCAATTCACTATATATTATTTATATGGTTATGCAAAAATTATACAATCTCAAATACTTTAGAAAACTTAAACATTAATATGAGGTCCAAGTTTACAATTACAATGCTGTATATTAATATTAATAACTATACAATATTATTAACATAGTGGGATTTTGATAGCCATCAAATTGGTTTTAATCCGGACTACTCACTCCTGTATATAAGCTAGAGTCTTTGAATTAATTAATATGCACATTTTTGTATTCCCTTTAATATTCCATGCCACATTGGTGAAGGTGAGTGGTAGCTTTGATTGTTCTTGAAGAGTGCTTGAATTTGGGATTTTGATTTAGATTTAGCTTTTGTATTATTTAGATCTTATTTCTTTATAGCTTTTTCAATTTCTTTTCTTTTGCTTTGTCTCCTTTTCGTTCATCTTCATGGAGAGTAGTAGCTTACTCTCTTTTGACTTTAGAGTAGTAATTGTGCAATTGTTTGATACTATATGGTTCCAGTTAAATAACCAAACTTAGTTAATAGTAGTATTTATAGCATGTGGTATAACTCCTCCTACTCGTATTGTTAATCTTTGCGTTTGGCCAAAGTTATTTTGTGGGAATCCTAAGGATGATATGTATCATTGATTCAATCATTTTACAGTGATTGCATTCTTGGGATTGTTCGACATTTACATAAGTTTCCCATGTGCCTTTAAGAGATGGTGTTGCAGTAGTATAATGGTTTAAGTGCAACTATTTGTGCGGATTGGAGAATTCTCCTAGACATTTTTACATGTGTATTTGAACATGCCAATTATTGTGATTATACCTTTCAACAATTGCATTGTCTTTGTCAAAGGCTATTTGAGTTAGTGATGCAATTTGGCATCATTAGTGGATGTGATTCTCTATTACAATGGCTATGTATATTTGCCACGGGTGGATGCGTTAATTTGTTTTTAGAGCTTTTTGCTTTGTGTAGAGTCAAATATGTCAGAATAGATCAAATTGGGAATATTGTAATTAGCATTTCATCAAGATCTTGTGAAATTTATGCATGCACTTGCTCTAGCCACCCTTAACAATGCTTTTTAATTAGCACAACGTTATAAAACATTGCCTCTTCCACTTCTCGTTACATATTTTTCAACTCCACTTTTTATGGAAGATGGTTCTATTCCGATAGAGTTTGATATTGTTGCTACTTGTATTCAAGGACAAGAGGAAGTAAATGGTTGTAGCTATGATGTCTGCTGTTAAGTTTGTAATAGATTGGCCACATATATTGGCATTGTCAACATTTTTCAATTTGGCATTTTCCATTTCCTAGGTGGAAGCCTTGGCATCAATATGTGAGAAACAAAATCCCTAGGCCCCAAAGTGGAGCCGAAAGGGTGCTATGTGGTAGTGGCCGAAGCGAAAGCCAAACGAGCGTAACACGTTTGGACTAAAAGCTTGACTTGAAAGGTTGAGAGTGGGAGTGGAACTCCCAAAAAAGTGCTCGAGAAACGAGCATGAAGCGAGCAATAAGTGAGACTCCAAAAAGGGACCCAAAAGGACCAACACATGACACATGGAAGTGTCCGAAAAGGAGTCTGAGATGGATCTGAGATGGACCCGAGATGGAGTCCGAGATGGACCCGAGATGGAGTCCAAGATGGACCTGAGATGGAGTTTGAGATGAAGTCTGAGATGGACCCGAGATGGAGTCCGAGATGGAGTCCAAGATGGACCCGAGATGGAGTCTGAGATGGAGTCCGAGATGGACCCAAGATGAAGTCCAAGATGGACCCGAGATGGAGTTCGAGATGGAACCGAGACTGAAACCGAGACTGAGACCAAGATCGAGACCGAGTCCGAGTCTGAAACCGAGACCGAGACCGAGTCTGAGTTCGAGTCCAAATACTAATACAGGCAATTGGGTGAAAGCCCAAAGCGATCGTCCCCTGGGGGGGGGGGCTGCGGGGTGTTTTAAAAGTATAGTAGGGAGAGTATGGGGGTTGGAGCTTAGTGCAGCCAATTTAGCTAGAAAAGGCTAGTTTGGCCCAGGAAGGCCATACCCAGTATTGGGTGATGAGTTGTCCACTGGGAAGTCCAAGACTAGAGTGAATACGGACCGACAAATGAGGTCACTTGGTGAAGTGTTTAAGAACTGGCTCTAGTTCCCTCGGGAGATCGAATGGTTGATGCTCCTAGTCCAAGTATGGGTGGCACTACCTACTTGGATACCTGGCATGGCTCAATGG